ACAAGTGGTATGTGATGCTTGGGGCACGTTCTCCTGTAACCTGCTGCTGATTTCAAAGACAAGACTGACATTGCTTCAGGTGACTCTAGGCAGCTCAGGCTGCTGGGAAAAAGAAGGATAGATTGAATAAACTAATCTTCATTAGTAGCACTCAGCAAGAGAAACAAGGGTTTGAGAGAAGGGACCAGGAGACAAGTGAAATGGAATTCAAGATTTTTATTTTATTAGCTGCACAGGGCTCTGTTCTTTTTACAATAAATGAGCTAATTAGAAGTTGGTTATACGCAATGGGAGAATAGGGAAGAGTGGAAGAGCTGAGATTTCACTTTGGTATTTCACTTTGGTATTGATTTCGTATAATTTAAATATAATGTTGGTATTCTGACTAATTTAAATACTTTATCGCACTTAGCTTGGTAAAATGGTTAGGACTTTGCTGTATTAGATGTGGTCCAACTGGGACATCCTATTTGTCAGGCTCAAAAAAGTTCTGTGATGATTTATTAAGAAAAAAAAGTACCAGAAACTAGTTTGTGTCACTATAGGCATCTTTTACTGTTGTTCAGTATTTGCAGTTAGGAGTAGCTTTGGTGATCTCTGCTGTGGCTGTGTTTTGTTGCCGTTGCTGCCTTGAGGAGACTTCTGGGTGATGCCAAGTAAGCATTGCAGTCCCTGGTTTCAGGAGGCAGGAGGTCCTTGCATCTCTGCACTTGTGCATCCCTAGCTAGTGTAAAGGCCCTGTGGGCAACGACCAGCCAGCACAGGGACACTACCTAGGGTGTTCTTGTGTCCTGGTCCAAAGAGGGACCTGGGTGGGCCTAGAGCTATTTCTGCTTCTGACTGCTTTGCCTGGTAGCCAGCGTCTGTGGTGGAAGATCCATCATGATACACATTGCAGTTCTTCCATAGGAAAAAAAAACAAAACAACATCTATCCCCATTAACTATTCAGTTATGTAGGAGCAGGCAGTAATTCATCCTTATACTGACATATTCTGGGGATACTGCAACTTCTAGTCTTCCACGGCCACTTTTCTGGGGGATAGGCGTACTTCCTATTTCCTCTGCTTATTCCAAAAATAGATCTATATTTTATATTACTGCACACTTAATTTGAACTTTTATTTTGCTTACATAGTAATGAAATCAGTTTACATAATAATTCCCTTGTTCCCTTGACAGTCCTTATTGCCTAGACATGCTGTTTTTGGTTACCTTACGTGAACCATTAATTGGAATCTGATGTTCTTGGCAGGAGTACAGTCGCAAATGACAGTGTCACACATCTGTGCTTACTGTGGGGGAGTGTCTCAATTGTAAAATATGGACAGAACCTCCAAATAAAATGAGTCTTAGAAAACAATTACAGATATAGTCTGTTGTTGCAGTATACAGGAAAATAAACACTTCTTCAAAATATAATTTTCCCAGAATATCACTCAGAGTTTCTGTTTAGATGCCTATGTGTCAATATTTTCTAGATTATTCTCTACAATTTTTTTGAGGCAAATTGTCATCTTATGCTTCATAGAATCATAGAATTATAGAACCTTTTAGGTTGGAAAAGACCTTTAAGATCATTGAGTCCAACCATTAACCCAGCACTGCCAAGTCCACTGTACAGCACGGAGTGTGACAGGATCCTGTTCTGTGGCCAAGCCTCCAGGATGTAACAGTAATAGAAATGGATATCTACATAGCTGCTGTGCCAGTGTTCACATTTTTTACTCTTCATTTCATCTAACTACAAAACAACATCATGGTTATCATTGAAAACAAGGCATTAGTTGTTTAGCTGCAAAATGCAGGGAATTTTCCTCCTTACAAAGGAGAAAATCCATTAACAGCATGAGATTGATACTTATGGATGGCAGTGCAAGGCTTTGCTCCCAACAGGGTTTGACTTGATGAGAAATAGCAATGTCTTTGTTTCAGATCTACCTTCTGTGTGCACTGTGGTGGTGTTTCAGTCATTAAAAATATCCTCAGTGTGTTAATATCCTTAGTTTGCTCTGGTTTTCATAAACAACTGAAGCAGACTGAGAGCTGCTAACCTCCTGGACCTGATAGCTGTGGTGGCTACTAAGATTGTCACAAGTGCCCAGAGATCTGATGTCATTTGGAATGCTGAAGCCATAGTTTGATGTATGTTTTAATCCAGTGGTGCTCTCAAAAGGAGTTGGGTCATCTCCACCACTTGGTCACCTTCCTCCTTCACCACTTTGCTCATTCCCTGTCTGAAGCTTATCTCCTTCAGCCTTGTGGCAAGTTGGACTGCAGCCATCCTCCACTTGGGGTATGCATGGCCATGCATGCAGTAGCCAGAACTTCGTTCTCTCTTTCATCCATTTCTCATACCTCCTGATGAACACTTTGCTAGCCTCCTGTCACAGGGAGCGTAGGGCTTCCTTGCTGCAAGTCCACCCACTGGTGTCCTGCGTGCTGTCTGTGAAAAGCTGAGCAGTGTTACCCTTCCTCCAAAGGCCCGTTATACCTTAGCTTGTCGTGGACAAGATGTAGCCACTGTCATTTACACATAATTTCAATGCCTGCAAAATCCAAAGATCTGGAGATGAAACCAAGAGCCAGCACAGCATAGAGCTGAGATAGGATGGGGGGAATACCAAAAAGAGTTTTTGAATTACTTCTAGAGAAGTTAAAATTTTTGGTTTGGGGCAGGAGTGATGAAACCGAGAGCCAGCACAGCATAGGGCTGAGATAGGATAGGGGGAGGAATACCAAAAAGAGTTTTTGAATTACTTCTAGAGAAGTTAAAATTTTTGGTTTGGGGCAGGAGTATTCGTGTGCCCCAGGGGCCAGCCCTGCATTGCTGACAGCCCAGAGAGCCTGTGCCGCTGGAGGAGGTTTCCAAATGTGAATCCCTCAGTCTTGCTCCTGGGTTGTAATTGTGTTGCTGGCTTCTTGGAGGAAGTATTAAAAGCAGAATCAGACAGCAAGCAGTCCAGACAAAGTCTCTGCGCATGGCTTTAATGACTGTACAGAAGTATCTGAAGGGAGCATTGAGGCTTGATCGTCACACCTGGTGGTAAACCTCATTTTTTTTTAAGAAAAGTCAAAAAAATGTGGATGCTGTGCCAGGGCTGCCTTCAGAGGATGTTTGCCATTGTTTTCCTCGCTGTGAATTCATCTTTCTAGCATCTGTCTTGGATTGACTGCCTCAGAAAAGGCATTTACAAGTAGAATTGAAGTGTACTTAAAAGCCAAATATGGGTTGTTTGTTGTAAAGCAGCCGATAGATATTTGGCAAGACACCAAAAGGTCCAGACACTAATCTAATTGTTTACAGCTCATGGAGAGATTAATCCACAAGATTGGATGCCCTCATTTCCTTTACGCATTACAATGAATATGTGAGATGCCAAACCCCATGGGGCAGCAGCAGAGAGAAAAATGGCTCCATTTCAGTGCAGTTATTGTTTCAAGTCTAGAAATATATTGATTCTCTTTGGGTTTTGATAAGAATATAAATGCAAAGTGCCTTGCTTAATATCAGAGTATTCTTGTTTCCTAGCCCTAGTAAAACAAAATCATGCTTTCTTATTTTAGTGTAATACAATGCTCTGCAAAGTTCAGATCAAAGATATGAAATAAAATGTGTTGGACACATAGTGAAAAGGGTCAGTACACACTTGCTGGCTTGAGAGGGCAAGGAAATACGCTGCATCTTTGAAAAATGGGCAAAGCTACCCATGGATGCCCCGGCTGGTGAGCTCTGAAAATCTTGACGGCTGTAAGATGCCACGCACTGGAGCAGCAGCTCTGCAAAGGGAACAGAAGTGACCCAATTACCACGCTGGGATGGGCTGCCCTGGCTGCTGGGCACCAAAGACAGTGCTGGGCAGTGCACTTGGGCTTGGAGAAAGGGGGTGTTCTGCTCCTGATACCAGTCACGTGGCTAGTGATCCTGGAAGGCGTTGCCCCTTCTGGTGGCAAGGAAAATTATTGTGACTTTTGCCAGAAGCCAGATTTGGGAACGCTACCTGGAGACCAGATAAATAACGCCTTGGTCTTGCAGACCTGTTAACCTCTGGCTTGCTGGCTGAGGCAGAAAAGTATTCATGACCAAAGTGTTGTGTGCATGTTTGCAAGCTAGTGGGCCTGTGAGCAGTTTACTGGTCATCACAATATTTTCTTGAAGAAACTTTACTACAGTTGCAAAGAATTTTCAAAAACCTAATGGGATTGAGATGTATTTATTCTGATGTTGCAATACCTGGCACATTTGGGGGAAGAAAATTAATATCCTGAACTAGTCTTTGCAGTGTTTCTAATTCCTTGACTAAGCACGTCCTCATATATCATTTCATTTTACTAGCTTTTGGGAAGAAGAGAATGTTTTGCTAGTCAGGACTTGTTTTGACTTAGTTTTTAATAATATCAGTCAGCACCATGTAGCCTGAAAGTCTGAATCTGACAAAAGTTTAGTTTTAAATGGGCTGCTTTTACGAGGTCATGTGTAGACTCATTGCTCCTGAATTAAGATCCTAAATGTGTAATTTTCATAACATGCAGGGAGAATATGCATTTGCATATCCTTGGAGAAATTGTTCTCTGCTGCATAGTTCAGCTATTTCAGCCATGACATGGAGGGGATGTTTCAAGATTTGCACATCACTTAAAAATCTTGTACTTTGCAATGGAGAACAGAGAAAGAAATGGCACAAGTTTTTCTTTTTTATTTGAAGTGCAGTACTTCTCCCATGGTAGAGAGCAACAGTACCAAGTATATCCAAAGCCAGGATTCCTGTGGTGCAAAAAACAGTTTGGGTGCTGAGTCGAAAGCGGGTCATCACTGCACGTGGAAGCTAAATGGGGGACTGGTGAGAGAGAGGTGACTGTACAGCATGGTTTCAGTCCTCTACTTCTCGGTCGTTTTTCTCGTTTTGGATCTGTTATGGAGCAGTCAGCATAGGGAGGGTCTTGGGAGTAGGTCTCCAGGGATTGTCTCTCCGCCTGTCAGAACCAGTGTTTCCTTCGCAGGGGGTGGAGCGCATTGACCTGCCCGGGCTCAGGAGCCTGCGCACCGCCCGCAGCCTGGAGCAGGGCATGGTGCTGACCATCGAGCCGGGCATCTACTTCATTGACCACCTCTTGGACCAAGCCCTCCGTGATCCTGCTCAGTCCTGTTTCATCAACAACGATGTCTTGCAGCGCTTTAGAGGATTTGGTGGGGTGAGTAATTCTGAAACGAATGGTTTTCTGAAATTGTTTTTCTGTTTGTTTGTCTGTGTTATGTACTTGAGAAGAAATCTTTTGGAAGCTATAATGTACTGCACATAGGGCTGTTCCTGAAGCAGCATCCTGGACCGTTTGACCCTGCAGACAAACCATGGGTTTTTTTGTTGGTTGTTTTTTTGTTGGTTGGTTGGTTTGCTTTTTGTTGGTTGTTTTCTTGTTGGTTGGTTGGTTGGTTTGTTTCGGTTTTTGGTTGGGTGTTTGTTTTTTTTTTTTTTTTCTTAAATGCCATTTTATACTTGTGATACATGATTAATGATAGACCCACATTCTTCCATTGATTGAAGTACCTTCTGTCAGCACTGTACAGTGACTTGCTAGGTAGGTGTTTTGTCTAATGTGTGAAATGGGTATGTTATGGAATACGAGACCGAGATCCATATTCCAGGGCTAGCTTTCTTGATAGCAGCTCAGTTCAATGCGCGCAGCCAGAGCAGAAGGCCGTGATGCTGTCAGGGAGGCAGTAGAGAAAAACAGCAATAATTGCTCTTACTGGACTATTGCCAGAACAGCATAAAACTTGTGAATGTAAAGCCTTCTGTCTTCTCCAAGGGAATGGCCAATGGTCTTCACGGGCACCCGTGCTCGAGGTCTTGCATTGCAGGCTGAGGCGGCAGCATGCACGGAGGAAGGCTGGCTGACTCAGGAGGTAGCCATGGTCTGGGCGATCATTCCTATGCAGGCAGCTGCTGTGCAAGTAGTGGGGCCTTGGTTCCATGCTCTCCAGGGTACATTTCCCATTCAAAGCCACCGCCCTCGTAGAGCGTTTAGCAGTTGCAGTGGCTTCCAGTGGGTTTTCATTTTAGCAGGGCAAGCATTTGAAGGGTGCCGCATTGTTCTCTGAGCTTCCGTATTCATGCACAGAGAAGATAGAGCAGGCAGCTGCAATGCCCCATCGTCCTCATGGCTTTTCTGCTAAGTCTCAACAAAGCTAACAATCACTGGCAACAGCGGTGATTTTCTGGTATGAAAAGTCACTCATTAGGAATTGTCTGCTGCTGCCATCAGCTAATTTATCACTGTACGCCAGCAGTGAGAGGGTAATTACTCTAACACTTTTGGTCTGAGCTGGCTTGGGAGCACCAGCCCTAACAGAAGAGCTGTGTGTGCCATCAGCAGCCGTGTGGAGCGGCCGGGCTGCTGGGCAGGCGCCCGTGGAGGGTCCCCATGCGGTGGGTGCAGCCTTGTCAAGAGGCGCAGGACTCGACCCTCACTGGTGTTTAATTCACTTCTGAGGTTTGGGATGGCATCTTTCTCCATGTTGTTCCTTTATCAAGGCTTGCCAGCCAGCCAGCTGAGGTACTGGTGACCGAAGCACAGGTTGCTCTGCGTTCTCCAGCTGTGAACGCACCGCGTGTGGCGCTGCACGCCGAGGCGCGTTTTGAAGGAGCGCTGTCACGCGCGGACCTAGCTTGACACCACAACGAGAACAGGTCTAACTGTCTTCCCTTTCCTTGTAAACACTCAGTGGGAGTTTTTCGGCAGTTGAATTGATTCCTGGTGAGCTTTCTCTGGAAATGCTCAGCAAAGCTCATGCTTTTCCATGGCTTGCTGCGAATGTCCACTCCAGCTCTGCAGCTTGAGGCATGCATTTGGCTCACCTGCTCGCTGTCTTTGCCTGGAATAGGAGTGACAGCACAGGATATCTACCTTGGTAATAAGTTGCTGTATCAGGCACTTTTGTTCCAGAAATTTCAAGCAAAGTCTAACTTTCTCCCGTTTTTTGCTTAGCTTCCTGTAATGATGACTTGTAAGGAGAGCAAGCCAACAAACTTTGCTAAAAGGGGGAGTTGCCCAAAAACGACTGAGCAAAAATGTAAATCTCTGATCCCCTTGTGAACAATACATTTTACTTAGAGAGCAAAAATAATAATACGAACATGTCCCAAGCCAGATGTTGTCACTTGATTTCATGCAGAAGAATGGAAATAAAATCTGAGACTGAAGTACATCCGAATATTTCTGAATTCTACACAAAAGCTGAATTATAATGCAATCAAAGTTACAATTCTAACTTGATTCTACATAAATAGAAGGTGCAATTTTCTGTGTAGTGTGCTTAGTTATCTACATGCTGGCTCGTTCTAGTTTATCCAGAAAGAATATTTCTCTCAAGTTTGTCAGAAAACTTTCTACACAATTAAAAAAGATTTTGTGAAGTCTAGTGGTTTTATTAACAAATGTAAATAGTGCAGGGGTTACTATTTGTGTCAGTTCTAGCTAAAGAGCTCATTACAGGCAGTCCAATCTTCCTTGAAGTTTAAAAGAAAAATACATTCTACAAAAGGAAATAAGTAGCCTATTTCCCTCTGCAGAGCTCAGCACTAATTAAAATGTTCTTAATTTGGCTTAGTTTAATTCACTTCAAAAATGAATTTATATGAACCAAAGTAACACCACTGTAATTTTGAGTAAGACTGCCCGCACAGGGAATTTGTGGATTTTAATGAATTCACCTTGAATTCATGTCTTTTTTGAGCTTGGGTAGTTTTCTTGGCTGTGACAAGTCTCTGCATTGAGAAGAGAAGCAGCTCCTTTTGCCATGCCCAAAAGAGCAAGACCGTAGCCATTTGCTGTAATTCGTGCTGCCTGGAACTAGCCAGGAAGGGGCTGTGAGAGCTGCGGGAGCAGGAGAGGCTGAGCCCCGCGAGGCTGTCCCGGCCGCCCCGCGCCGCTGG